CACATGAAGTATCTTAAGCTTTTATTTAGTATATTGGAAACATTCTAATGAAGGAGTTAGATGAGATCATCTCTAAGATTCCCCTACTTCCGAAACGTCCACTATCATTTAACTACCCAGAAGATGTTACAGGGAGGACACCTGGACCTGAGACATCTGCTGGACTAATTGTCATCCAACCCTGAAGGGTCCCAGACTTCGCTAATTCTGTGCCTGGTGGGAGTTTTTCTGCTGCCTTCCTCACTGTCAGGCTGTTAAGAGTGTTTTTTTTTTTGCTTTTCTTTTCTACAACATGACTTCTCCTTTGCAATTTGTTCTTTCTTACTGGCCATCACCTGAAAAACAAGATAGTGAATCTTATTATAATTCTATGTTAAGTAAGGGTTAATAGGCGGAGGCCTCTGCTGGGAGTAAAATACCAGCTCAGAGATCTTTCCAGCTTCTCCTAGGTTTGCAGCTGGTTTCTGGAGGATAACGTTGCAAGAAGTCTGACCTTTGACTAAGTGAGGATTCACTGGGCTAAATTTGATTCTGAAATGTGTATTTAACAATTGTTCTGCGTTATGACAAAAGCTGGTCTGGACTTCTAAAATCTTTGAATAAGTGAGCTTTGCAGCAGCACAAGCTGCATAATCTTTTGGAGAAATATCAGGATGCAGGAAGGTATTCATCATCAGAGAAAAATCTCGCTCTGCATCCTGATGTTCTCGGGCTCGGAAGAGGACTAGCTGTCAGTCTCTCTGGTTCTCATTCCCAGATGACACTGCTCTTTTGCCTCCCTCAAATGCACGCTCAGATATATACTTTTTGTTCAATTTTTCTCTTTCTAGTATTACATGTTCACTTTGACCTGGTCACTCCACTAGTCTTTTTCTTTTTTTAAAAATTTTAGTTGGTGTCTCTGCTGCTCTGTCTGTGGGCCCAACTTGGATTATCTTTGTATCCATTCTTCGATCCACCTCCAAGTATCTTCTGCTGGATTTCTTGCTCTTTCTCTGCCTGCCCATATTTGGATGCTCACTGTCTCCTTCAGGTATCACTGACTAAAACAAAGGTCAAGACAGGTTTGAGGGGGAGGGTATAGCTCAGTGGTAGAGTGCATGCTTGGCATGTACAATGTCCTAGGTTCAATTCCCAGTCCCTCCAATTAAAAAAAAAATAATAAATAAATAACCTAATTACCCTCCCCCTGCAAAAAAAAAAAAAAACCTAAATAAATAAATAGCAAACAAACAAAAAAGACAAGTTTGGGATTGCCCAGAAATCAGATTAGCCTCATGCCCTACCTCCACTTTGTGTGATTTTCCTGGATGTGGGGCAGGGAGGGGGTCAGCAGAGATCTCAATCCTTGGACACCGTGTAATACTCTGACGGTCAGAAGCTGTCCTGGGGCTCCACCCTTATCAGAACGGATCTGAGAGCTTTCTTTCAATCACCAGGCGGAAAGACCCACCCTTGTCGTCCCTGCCAGCCATGCCAGAAGCATGGCTGCTCCTGGTGGTAGGAGAATGGTCCCAGGACCAGGGAGACCAATGGCAGCTCATTCAACCTGCCACAAAAAATGAAAAGCACTCTTGCACTTATAAATCAGGGGCCATACTTAGGTGGCAATCAATGACTGAAAAAAATAGAAACAAGAGGAGTACAACCTTTTTAAAGACAAATGAAAATTTCATTTTCAGTAACTAGATACTTAAACACTATTTCACTCTGAATGTAAATTAATTATTTACCCACAAAAAGTTTTATAGTAATGACTTCATTTACAAAATCAAATATTCCACTCACCGCTACTACCCAAAAACCCAGCTCTTTGCCCAAAGAGCAGCGAAGGTGCAGACTGGACAAAAACAGACTCTCCCATTTTGCCTCATTAATGCCACACTGCACACACCACAGTCAAAACCAAGTCATGTTTTGTCATATTTATTCATAGACTGAAGAATCTGGGGTGTGATATTGGTGGTAGAAATTTGCCCGTGACTTACTGGAACTATTCTGCCATTTGTATACTACCGGGAAATTTAAGGATCTAAAAATTCTGGCATTTTCCTCTATAGTTGGCATTCTCATGGCTACCTCTGGTGTCCCTCAAGAGACATTGGAAAACATTTGTGTGCTGAAATTGTCAGTGCTCTGTCATCTCACCTTGAATCTAACTAAAGGAGAATCACATAAGTGGTAAATCAGTCAGAAGGTATTTCCACAGATACACTGGTCTCAAATTATATGCTTGGTACATGACTTTATATGGTGCCCCTTGCTTTCCTAACCCATTTTAACATCTTTCTTTTTTTTTTTATTGTGGTTAAAAAAAAAAAATCATGTGAAATTTACCATCCGAACCATTTTTAAGTGTATGGTACAGTGATGCTAATTACATGCACATAGTTGTATGACTGATCTCCAGAATGTCTTTATCTTGCAAAAATATTTCCATACTTATGAACCAGCAATTCCCCTTTTCCCTCCTCCCAGCCCCTAGCAACTACCATTCTATTTTCTAAGAGTTTGACTCTTTTTGATACCTCAGAGAAGTGAAATTTGTCTTACATTTCTTAAGCAATGGATAAAATAATCTTTAAAAAATATTTTCTTTGTCTGAAAAATGGATAGACTCCTGAAGGAGAACTACTGGTCTCACTTTGTCACTCACCTTAACGTAATTTTATAATTTAACAAATATTCACTTGCGGTGTAATAAAAATGTCATGAGCGAGTACCCGGGCTCAGTGGAGTCTTTGTTATCTCAGATTATCTCACCAAGGAATTTGAAGAGGCTCATGGGTTTCACAGCAAATGCTGACTTCCTCAGCTGTTTATTTTCATCCAGTCTCTTTGATATTTGTCACCAAAACATCACACATGTGGTATTGTTCATTCTGAGCTGCAAAATCATCACGAAAAATGAGGCTTGAAAATAGCTGGTCTTTAACATGCATTTAAAGAGATGAGTCATCGCAGCCTGTTCTACAATGGCAACACAATTTCAAAGGGGATCTGGGTCGTCTGTGGTTGCTCCTGCCTTAGGGGTCAAGAAGATCTGTTTTTCTGGAGTCACTTTGCCTTTAGCCTGGGGATTATTTCCAACTGCCATAGCAGACCTTGGAACGCCATTCCTTGCATTCTGTGAATACAAGAGAACATGGATTTCATAACCCTTGACTCTGCTCAGTACCTCTCAGATCAAGGCAATGCTGCCAAGGACTACCAATTATAAAAGTTTAGGGGTTTTCTCTCTCTCTCTCTTTTTTTCTTCTTTGCCTCATATCCACATGACCTTCCTGAGAAAAGAAACCCTTCTCCTGATCTGTAAGCAGCAAAAATTGCAGAATCCAAGGGCTACGAAGGCTCTGTCCCTGAATTCATGGATTTTTTTCCACACCTCCTCCTGGCATACCAGCCAAAGGAAGCCTTCTGCATTTATTTTATTTTATTTTATTTTATTTTAT